CGCCAATATGCAGATAAACGCTTATTTTTGAAGAATAAACATACAGCAGCGAATTCGTTTAAATCCACGTTTAAGTGCCACGTACTTTTAGTTAACGTGCTGTTCCTAACTTAAATTGTGTTTAGTTCATGACACTTGATAAAGTTTGCGTGTAGTACTGGTCGCTAGCTTTAAATGTTCTTTAGAATTGATGCTGATATCATCAACAACAAATAATTGACACTAGAAATGACATGATAAGTCTACTGATAAATAAGTACTTAAGTACGCGGTACATGAGCAATAGCTTAAGTGCGCGTCACCTTGTCTTGTCATTACAATAAGCCAAAATACGTTTAAATAAATTTTCTCTAAAACTCGATATAATCGAGTCGATAATCTTATCAAAGGCCCTGTTTCCATGCATACCTACCTACGCATAGTCTTTCCAAGAATAAAAACAAGAGCTATGTACGAAATTTACTGTACGTACAAATATCATCAACCTTGCATTATTATAAAGACTAAGGTACACACCCATAAAGAATGCCAGTTTTTGCCTTGGTTTTTGCACAGTGCGCAAATTATTGGTAAGCAAAGACTTTGAACAGAAGCTATGTATCGGTGAATTGGTGTGCAATTACACAGAGCTCTAGCTATCTTACGGGTAATCATTACAGTTTATTTTGTGATCTCGTATGGTGGGAAAAATAAATGCAATCCACACAAATATAGATGTAGACGCGTCACGCAAATAAAAAGAAACAAAAGACGTTTCAAAAGGAAAGGGCAAACTTTTGTGCATTGAATTTTCAGTTTTCACAGCTGGGTAAAACGTAAGCATATTTTCGACGTTGGCACATTTCAAGCAAATGTAACATCTTTCTTCGAGTATGTTCAGTTCACCTTTTTGCACACGAATGCATTAATATCATCGACAGATACGGATTGATACTGTGAACAATTTTGCCTGTGTATTTGTTCTATATACTTCTTGTTTCGTTCATCACCACGAATGGGCGAATCTTTCTTTTGATCATTTTTTCCTCTCTTTTTTTATTTGGGAAATGAGTGATGTGAGTTTTTTATTTGTGTTTGTACTCATACTTACGTGCATTGCACGCAAAACAAGCGTTCAAAGACGTCAAATTCGAAACATGGATGAAGACGTAAGAGAAAGAATTTTTTTGAATTTCCCAACTCAGCAAAGCATAACTAGAAAGTAAATTTTATTTGATCCATTTGGAATGGTTGCTGTGAATGATTTTCTCATTGTCCAATTGTCCATACTCAAATTGAATTGGTTCTAATGAAAAATTCCTTCAAACATTTGAAAAAAATCGCAACTAGAATAGGAACGCGAATTTCGACGTAGTTATGTCAAACACTTTATCAGAATTAAAGACAATTCAAATTTTTTTTTTTCGATTTTTAGTTGTTGTGAAATTTTCCGTTGGCAGGTTTATATGATAGCATCTGAGTATTAACATCTATTTAAAGAGATGCAAAGAGTTTGAAACCTGCTATAGCAAAGAATCGTGCTTTTTGACAGATGTACTAAATTGAATGTTTTCTGTGTCGTCATCTGTTGTCGGTGATACTAATATCTTGTCGTACGGGTCAGATGAAGATTTCATTTATTGTTTATCCAATTTTATACAAAATCACTTTTTCATTCATAAACCAATTTAGAAAAGAAAATCACCGTTTTTCCGACTATTGGCATGCAAAATGCACAAAACATAAGAGTGAAAAAATTGTCATCATCAAGTTTAAAACACAGCACGACCAATTTCAAGTGTTGCAACTTTGTTTTAAAAAAAGCCGAAAATTATCTGAAAAAAAAACCCTAGTACACAATAATGAATGGCAAATCATTCTTTTGTCTCTTTGTAGACATCAAATCTCACATTTTCAATTGAAAGTGAATTTTTTTTCCATACAACTCATAATCGTAATACACAATCACGTGTTTAGTACATTTCATCGATCAATACCGACACTGAACGCGACCTTTCAACGTCGGTTGAGTGAGAGAACGGAGCGTTAAGTTTGACAAAAACCATTACCAAGATATTAGTATCACCGACGACAGATAACGACACAGAAAACATTCAATTTAGTACATCTGTCAAAAAGCATGAAAAGGTTTCAGGTTCTTTGCATTAGGAGCTGAAATTATGGCGATCTTTTATGACAAATGTGTAAAGCTAATTGAATCTATTTTTTTACTTTGTATTCTAATAACTTTTTATATTTTAACGTGCAGTGATTGCATGGAAATAGAAATGAATATCGCCTAATGTTACCATGTGTACTGATTTTATCAGTACTATACTGATTTTTGGCCAATTTTTTTGTTCGATACTGATTTTTACCGAAAACTGATATTTTTAACCTTCGTACTGATTTTATACTGATTTTTGAAATTTTGAAATTTTGCAAAGAAATACTTGACTTTGGCAGAAAAATTCATGTTTCTGTTGAAGAAAATTGTCAAAAAAATCTCAGAAAAGCACGAATCGCAATTATCCCGAGACACGTCATATAAAACATAAGAAAATTGAAAGAGAACTTTTACAATTTATCTTACGTGTTTTCGGAAAATTTTGTTTTTTCTTTGCTTTCATGCTTTTCTTTGAGCTCGTTATATTCCTGAGAATTTGGTCAAACAGCAATAAACAACAGGATCAAGTTCACTTCATCCTTAAAATGAGTAAATAAGAAAGCGTGAAATTTCGTAGTCAAGAATCCGTATATTACCAACCATATATTACTTTTCCGTACACACCGTGTCAATAGGAATTGGTCCCGAAAACTTTTTTCCCGGAAAGATTTCTATGCCATTTTTCTGCTTCGTAAGAGCAAAAACATCGCCTCTTTTTCGCTTATAAACTTCAATTCGTTTTGATATACGAATGCGTAGATTCATATCGCTATTTTGTACTTTTGTACTGTAGGGCCTACAGTGTAGGCAACATTACTTTCCATTCAGTGCTTCGCGTTTGCACTAAGATGAACTCAATGATTGAGTCTCAATCATACAAATATTGCCATATGCTTTGCTACTTTTGCCAATGTCAGTTGACGGGTGGTTTCAATGAGTTATATGCTCGTATACCGTTAATTTTGAAGAATTGTATTCTTGGTGCAGTGCTTTTGAATATGAACGCTATCATAGAAATTCTTGAAGTGCACATTTATCTGGAGTAGTTATGCTACACATAGTGCGCAGATCCAAGGGCCATATACAGAAATTTTTCGAAACGTTTTGATTTTCTGTGTTGGATTGACTCGGACTGCTTGGTTTAATATGAATGCATTCGTCGTGATATAGTACATTTGACTAATAGTCGCATTGTGCTATGTAGTAATCTTTGTGTGTACGCTGCATATTTCTTGGGCTCACAAAATGCTGCGCATCAAGCAGGCTTCATTAAATGTCACGAAAAATCCTTGAAATTCAGATCCTTCGGTTTATTAGCGAGAAATTTCAAGATATCGAATTTATCGCTTTGTAGTAGCTACTACACAAAGGAACGGCCATATGTCATTCAGAAAGTTTTTAAACCTGATAACAATTTTCACTTCCGCTTCAGCACACAATCGCTGTTTCGTACTTTTCCATTTTTTTTTCTTATTCCATAGCCCCTTTATTCTGTGGAGCTCCCCTCCCCTTCATCCGTCAAGTGTAGTAATGATTTCCAGTTTGATTGTCTCCAATGGCATTGTAGGGTTCACCAAATGCAATGCAACAGTCAGACGCGCACACGATACGATTCGGTACGATGCTTTGCAAATGGTTTCTACTTACCCAAACCATGTTGAAGATTTGTTATTTTGTGGTTACGTTTCCACAGTGAAATGGTTAGTTCCCTGTTAAATTTATTCTTTTATTCTTTTCACTTCACTCCGTACCAACACAACTCGAAAAATGACTAACACAAAATAAATATTAGTGCCATTTATTTTGGTCGGGTTTGTGGTTTATGGCGTCGTCTGGTTTTGAATGGCGTATATGTGTGAGTGTGTGTATGTGCCAGAAACATATGTGCTTACGCTTAGATTGACCAAGCTTTGTTCTCGTGATGAATGATTTTTCCTGTTAAACTTTCACCGATCTTGCATTGCTCACGATGTGTACTTCGCATCGCCAAATTACATGAGTATTTCTCGCGCACGCTTCGCTTCCCTCCCCATCCCTTTTCGACTTACAATTCTTTCAATTTTCTTTCAACTGTAACAAATTTTCGTCATCGTGAAATCAGTACCACAGACAACATAATTGTATATACAAAGGTTACTTTTATGTGCGTGCCGTTTTGAAGGCTATACATATATAGTAATGTCTTTACCGTTGTGTATATATTTACATTCACTTAATCTTATGTATTCTCTGTTCTCTGGGATCAATTGTGATTTTGCTTTTTTGTCAGTATCTGTTTTCTTTGCGATTTTTTCTTTCTCCTTTTTTCGTCATTCTGCGAGCTTTGGTCGATTTTATCGAAATTTAGCCGTGCCACGGCAATGCCCTTAAGTCTTTGTTTCGTCTGTTGAACATTGGATATAAAGACAGGCGCAAAAACAAGAAGTGAGTGGAGCATACAATACTGAAGTAGTGCATAAACAACAAAGGAACATGCAAAATTTAATTAAAGTCATCTGTTTGGTGGCTTTGTCTTACAGAAGTACCTTCTACGTATGTCAGTGTTTTATATTGTTATTTTGATTCTCTAATTGAAGCCACCACTTTGTCAGCTTTTTCCGTAATACATGCCATGAATACATGAATAACGATTTTTTTTCGGTTATTCTGCGTTCAGACCATTGACATTTATCTAGATGTACGCAAACATTTACATATATATATATATATATAAAATGAATATTTTTCGCAAATTTTCGTTAGCCCTGGTGACGAAATTCCCATAAAAACTCATACATGGCAATAATTTTGGTGAAATATTCCAACCAACGTTTCAGATAACCAAAGCACATGGACATGCACAACGTACTTATCCAGTTTTTAGAATACAATATATTCACAGGATTCAACTTTTAAATGACTTACTTTCATATAAAATATTGAGTAGCATTCACAGTACTCAGCTGATGGTAAGGCCAAAGCTACATTCTGCGAAATTTGTTTATTCAACCAGATCCAATAAGATCTGGAAGTGAAAATCTCCAGTACTGTTTGTGTTCGTGAAGCTTTTGATTTTCTTGTTCGTCAAGCTGACGACATCTTAGTACAAATTGAATTTTGAGTACTAGTGGCGCAACGATTGCCGTATTATTTTGTTTTGAAATTTCGATAGTTCACGAGTTAGATAGACCGAATCCGACTGAAAAAGTGTGTTTTAAGTTTCCCCTCTTTTCATTTTTTTGGGTTTTAAGAGATGCACTATCGAAGGCGCATTTTCATGTTGAAATCGGCATCTGACACCCTCACCATACTCTGCTGGTATATTTTTCCCCTTTTGCATTTGATGACATGATTATTTTCGTTCTGTTTTATGCTTGTGGGTTTATTGTGACCCACAACTTGTGAGCTACTCAAGCTTATATACCAACAAAATACACACATTAAAGCACTTTCCGGAGCACACAAAACATAAAACGCACGAATGTAATAAAGCAGTTTATGTAAATAGCTCTGAAATAGTTTGCTAGAACCACGTCAATGATCATTTAATATTGAAGATAATACTTTTGGTTAGTTTCAGCATCGTTCCAATATTTTTTCTTGTTAAAAAACAATTACAGTTTTTGATGTATGTTTTTTTACCACTTGACACACAACATCGATGAACCACTGTTTGTATCGGATTCAATGAATGATTGAACTCTTTAGTGAACTAAGAAACCAATTCCAATTTGAGAAAAATGTTTGAACTGAAGTTAGAATTGAAAAAATGTGTCTTCATATTTGCTCCGTAGATTCTATAGACGCGATGTCTTCGAAGCTAAAGAGGGGAAACAGAATATTACACAATTGTGGGGTCATGCGATATATATCAAATGAGAATTGTAGTGTAAATTCTTAGCAAACATATACATCGACAACAAGGATGTTTTACCTTTGTCTAATTACTTTTTTTTCTAATTAATTATGAACGACGCCATCCAAGGAGGAAAAAAATAATCATTAAAATAAACATTTAAGGAGAAACGGTAAATATACTTAATTTGGAGAAACATTTGTACATCCGAATGAACTGTCATTGTGTACGGTGAAGGCTGCACACTGCTCCACCCACAAGAGCTCGAGCTTGCAGAGGTGTTATCAGCTAACATTCTGAAAGCATTTTGAATGGTGCACGATTATCGCTTATGGACGCAATTAGATGAAGCGCAAATTGTGATACGATTTCTTACTCTCCGAACTAAGCAATCCATTTTATTTTATGTTAGCGCTTACAGCGCACGCCAATTTGTAGTCACTTGGAATTTACGTGGTACAATTCGCATGCTGAATTCAACTTGAAATAGCATGGAAATTAATTCGGCTATTCAGTGGTTAATGAGCCCATTTTTAGTTGTGACCGTATATTTCTTGTTGTCCCATCTTAAGCTAATATTTTGTTGCAAATGGAAATGTACAAGCACCATAAAATCACTTGGTCTCTTCATACTTCGTATCATAAATTTAAAACAATTTGCCCGAAACAATCTTTGCAATTATTTAATGATAATGACGATGACTTTTTGTATCAATCGGAACGTTCCCTTTGTCAAGTGTGCTTAAGACGTAGCGCGAACTCAACTGACGGGGCAAGATGAAAACAATTGGTAAAATGGGGAAAAAAGCGGATGATGGAACAAAAATGCTCAAGGAATAAAATGATTGAATGAGGTCTGCGCCATCCAATTTTTTGTGTGTTGTATGTCTAGAAGCACTTCTTCTTCGGTGTTTGCTTCCATCTTTGTCCGTTTTGTTTCCCTTTTTTAAATTCTTTTTGAGTATAAGATTTTTCTTTTATTTTCTCATATTATTATTATTATCATTACAGACAAAATGATGACTATTTAGCATTTTATATCTAAGAAAATATGACAATATGAATCGTATGCAATCGAAAATGAAGACCGAGCAAAAAATATTAATGATACTCATTCCGAAATGATGGAAAGTTATTTCAAGAAAATGGTGAATAGAATCATTCTCATTAAATCGAGGTAGTCGATTATAGTGGCGCAGTGCTGATGCTGGGTCTATGGATTCTTTCTCCGTTCGATGTATGATGATGTGTTGGAGTACATTTTTTTCTTCCTTTTTTTCCAGCCGGATCAAACAAGCAACACAAAGCATTGAGAAGAGAAGATAAATGACCCTTCCATGAAGCGATATGAAAGTAAATCTGCGATACCATGCTACGACATGATAATGAAGACAAAACAAACATGCGAAGCGAATAAAAGGAGCAAAAAATAAATTATTATTGATATTGCGATGAATAATAATGAGAATTTTTCATATAATATCTATTCATGGACAGAAAATGAAGATGCAGCGAAAAAAAGTTCTGTAAAATGGGGCAATTTATTAGTCCAGTTCTTTTCCGTTTCATTTCGATTCAGCTAAATCGCAAGATTTCTCCTCATTACTTTAGCTTAATACACCTACAGATAGATTTTTTTTTGTTACCGATTAATTGATGATGCTATTTACTGAGACATATTTACAAAGAGCATTTTTCTTGAAACAATGTGGAAATACTAGATGAGTCCGATTGAATATAGTAGCATCAATATTTATTTTCAGAGATGGAAAGGTCTTAATTCAACCGGGGAAGTGTACTTTGAATCTGTTTTATCAGATCAAACATTTGAGTTTGCTGTGGGCATTTTTGGCATTGTAACTTTGCATTGTATTACATTTATAATACAAAAATTGTTCAGTTTAGTGAATTTGAAATATTGTTTGAATGCATTAATATGAAAGCCACCGCGAGGATCTTCATCGATGAAATTGTTGTTGAACAAATTGAATAAAATATCGTTTATTCATTAATATTGCATGTATTTAGATGTGGGAAACTGCGACCAAAACCTAAAGCAGGTTTAGGAAACGCAGCAGAAAATCCAAATCAACAATTGAACAATCAGTTGCTGTCTAAGGTTAAAGTATACGGGAAAAACTGGCGATCAATCATTGAATCAAACGTTGAAACAGAGAATGCTGCTGCACAAAAAGAAGATGAAGCCACATACGTCGAAGATCTAACCCATCTTTCTTTCGAAGAGGCGGAGGCCCATTTATAACAGAGCAACGCGTCAAATCAGCGTCCAACAGGACTAAAAACAGTTTGGCATCGTGATACAGTGGCTGCAAAATGCATCTTATACAAAGTTAATATTTTGATTGGCATGTAAAGATGGAACGGAAAATGTTGTTATTTTACATTGTTGTTTGTGATTTCAGGTATTTTTGACCTGTTCAATGGATACACTCCCGACATATTTCTACTGGATCGTTAGCTTCAAATACACTTCGATGGGTTCAATACATACGTGGCTGTGACGCAGTAGAATGCAGCAGCATTTTAGTTTTAATTTTGATTTTTCGATTTTAATAATAATTCATGTAACGTTAAGTTATTCTGCTGGGAGCTGATTTTGTGCCCATGCCAAAGTACCTACCGCTGTGTCGGCTAGTAAGTCAATAAAATGCGGATTGGAATCTGTTCTGTGCAAAATCGTTGTAATATTGTGTAAAAATGTGGAGTTCAACGAGTGAAAGTGTTATGAATAAATTTTGTGGAGAAAGGTGATTTAGAAAATTTCTCCATGAAAAATGCGTTATAAAAACTTTGCAGCAACAACGACGTTTAAGAACAGAGGGAAACGTGATAAATAAAAATTGATCGCATGCAATACTTATCTCATTTATCAACGCTATACTTTATTACGTTTTCGGAAAATTTTTTCGTTCGTCTTTGAAATTTGCCTTGTTTAGTCTACAATATGGCAAGTTTTTTTTTCGCCAAAATGAAAATAAATTTGGAAATATTTACGAAATATGACAAAGGATATATTATGGTTGTAATCAAGTCAATAACGCAGCAATGACAAATTGGTTTCTGTTTAGCAGACACACGGAATGGTGCAATATACACTCTGACTTTTCATGCCGCATCAATGGCAAAAATCATTCGCTACGCGTAAACGGGTCGAGAATTGCGTTACCGTCTGCTGAATTACTAGTTTGTTTTTTTTTTGGAAATGTGCGCTCAGTCTCAAATACCAATCAACACTCGAAGCAAAAAGGAATCAACGAGCAAACGCCGCGGCTCCTCAACTGAACTACAAAGTCAAGACAAAGCGTGTTATTCAATGAACAGCAATATTCATGGCGATATTATTTAGTATTCGTATTTTGTCATGATATCTCGTTTTGATGATTTTGGTGGTGGTGGTTTGTCTGTGTATGGGCACCATAGAACCTTGCAGCCATACGAATTTTCATTATTATTGTTATTATAAACGTTACATACATACATAATCAACAATAGATTCGCTTGCAACGCTTCTGTATGCTCCTAAGTAATTGGATATTGAGATTTAGCAAAAACAATGTGAAGTAACAAGTAGACATTGAAATAAAAGATAGAATTGATTCCATAGCTTGGTGTGTGCCTTGAATTTTTTTTTCGTTATTCTCTTAATTAAACCGAAGAACACGAACAAAGCAACGAAAAGAGAGAAAAAACACACAAAGAAACGACAGAAAATTTGCACATTGACACTCGAGCGAGACGCCTATTCATTAAATATTGATCCAAGCGGGTCCCGGTCCATTCATGTTGTCGTGCCCGAGACGGTGTTTCATTATTTTTGTGCCAGAATGCTCCATTGTTTCGTGAGCCGAGCCATTCATTTAACTTGACTTACGACGTAATGCTTCGAAAAATGCTCGGCTATGAGCAAATTATATCCTTCAATTATTTTTCAAAAATCCAAATCAATCCATCTAACGATCAAAAGTCAATGTTGGAATTTGCCGCTTCGCAAATACGATGTTCGTTACTATCGGTCGAATGGAATGCGTCCATCAACAGCACATTAGACACATGCCAAGACGAAAACCTTTTGAGACCGAAAATAAGGATGAGACGTCAGAAAAAGAAAGAGCGTGAAGAAAGCGAAGAAAAGTCCGGCTAATCATTTTCAATTGAATTGAACAGCGGGCGTTTGAGGTGCAACCTTCATTAATAACAAACTGGCTTGGTTTTGATTGTCGACAGCTTTCTCGGCAATTCTTTCACTTTTTCGACATTGTATTCAATTGGAGTGGTTTCTCGCTTTTTGCTTTACTTATTAAATGAAAAAACAAACTCTTTTTGAGGTGAATTTTTGTGCCGAAAACAAATACAGAACAGCCCTAATACCAATTATATGTTAACAAAGATTCCAATGTGTGAAGTTGCACTTTTGGCGTTAAAATCATTTTAGCTCTAATTTCAAATATTTTTACGAAGGTAATATCCCAGTCTCGTTCAGCACTAGGTGTACTTTCGTCACAAGAACACACTATCATTTTCTGTTTGAGTTCGATACACATGGGTGCTGGCAGGGGTCTAAATGTCCGCCTATAATCATAATTGATTGCGGACACTCCATTGTATATATGATTTCTTTGATTTTTCTGCATGGGAATAATGTAAAGCTGATTGTGATTGTATTATGTATTGATATCATCATGAGTTGAGACAAGAGTCATCATGTCTAGACACAAAGCTGTGAAAATATGAAATACCACAAAGCTCAAAGGTTGAATGCTTTGTTTTTGTTGTATGTGACATACATACGAACCATTGGGGCCTACATAATGACATTTACGGCAATGTTCGAGGAAAATAAATGTGCAAAAACTGATGATATATACAAAGGAAAATACTGCTGCAAGAATCTTAATAACGTAAGCACTGTCAAGGAGCCATCCTTGTTTTGTAATACTCTGCATATTCATAATAGCATTTCTTTTGGAAAGCGTTTTATCATATGCATGTTCTAAACTGGTACCAAAGGCTCGAAACGAGTGTATATGTATACAATCTCATTTAAGGAACATTGGTTGGTTCGATTTTTCGATTACACCTCCATCCTCCATGCAGCATAAAAGCTTTGATCTTGAATACATTGTAAGGCACAAAGTGATGCAGCTACGTGTACAAGCAAAAATGGACTAGATGTTAATACTCACATTTAGTTTTTTCTATGGTTAACTTTAATTTTACAAAGCACATGCTTACGTGGGAAAGGGCAAAAATGTGTAAACAGTGTGACAAGTGGAAAAAAATAGTATCATAAACTTTTGCGCTTTGAACATAAAATAAAATCATTTTATGTGAAAGTCTAATATGGTATCCGAGTCTAAACGTCATATTAAATGTATTGCTATGCTCTCTTTGTGTCAAGCATATCCATCCGTATGCAAACCAATACAATTTTTGTTGATGATACTGCTTCTTCTTTTTCCCATTATGAACGTCGCTATTGTTATGAAAATGTTGAGAAATCAGTGTATTTAAATGCCAACATCCGTGTAGGTCTATACTAAATGGATATTTTTTCGAAATTCGTTCTTTATTGTGAATAAACATTTTTTCAACACCAAATTATCCATTAAAAATATATTTATTTATACCAATTTGATACGAATTTCAAAAATATTTTTATTCAGTATAACCTTACGCGGATATTGGCATTTCATTAAACGCACTCATTTCTCAACATTTTTACAACAATGGCGGCGTCCTTAGTGTGAAAAAGAAGAAGCAATCACAGTCAACCAATCGTACACGGATGTGCATATCGTATGTGAAAACAGCTAAAGCAGTTCAAACAGCGGATCGGTACTACTCGAAATCGATATTCACAGTGTTGGTATCAAGGCATGAACCTCTCGTTCTGGATCGTTTCATCTCTTTGAATCATTATGTGAGATAAAAACAACCACGAAAAAATAGTCAACAATAGTCAATTATCGTATTGAGATCAACAATTATTAAATGCGAGTGTGTCGATGGCTTTTGTGGTTCAATACCAGCGATCTTACAAATAAATTTGCACTTTTTTTGTTGCAAAAAAATACGATATAATTCAAAAGTAGTCACTCCCAAAAACCATCTAAATTTTATATGATTAAGGAAATGTGTCTGTTTTGCATCCCCTCATTTTTTGTTGAATAATTTCTTATACATTTCACATTTATCGTCGATGGATTTAAAATGATGGATGGATTTTTAAATAACCCCATGAAAGCAATCAAACAAAAACAAAGGATTGGAGCAGAGGAAAAAACAGATAAACGTGGCGAAGGAACAAACATGTCAAAAAAATTGCTGAAACACATTTCCGCAGATGGTGCAACGTTGCACACCACACATATCAGCAAGGTTCACATGGTTGCAGTGTGGTTGCTTTAACAGCAAAAACTTATGGAATATGCCTTTCGCCACCATTTTTATCGCTATCGATTTTTGTAAAAAAATCCTTTTCTGATGGTAAGTCTGTTTTAGCTTACAGCAATCTCTGCTATTTGTTCTCTTCTCGTTCTTTTTTTTCCACTCTCTCACTCTCTTTTCTTCCTCACCCGCTCCCTCGCTCTATCTAACTCTCCCAGTGTTGAGTACTTCTTCTAATTTTTATATGTAGCTGCAACGAACAAAACGTTATGTAAACAGTCGTTGAGATTGTTTCACACCAAAAGTGGTCGACTAGCACGCTGAAAAAGCTATTTTGGTTCGGTTCAAGCATACGGCAAACTGGCGAATACGTTTAGCTTAATCAAATTTACTCTTTGTAAGTACAGAATCATTTGAACCGTACGACATATGAACTGCTGAGAATAATAGACTGACGATAGCAGACTTTTCACAAAAGCGGGATAAAAATTTGTTTTTCGCAACCTTTATGATTATGAAAATAGTAAACAATACAGCGGCACCTGGGGACTAAGTGCAACGTGTCATACTTTAAACGTTTGAACTAACACAGACGCACTTACACAGACGCATACTTGTTACAGCAAACTATGTGCATGATTCTCTATTTCTCCAACCAGTCGCCAGGTGACGCTTTATTGTTCTTGTTTGACGTTTCCTATCTATTTGTACAGACGATCAGAGAGGCTGGTTTTTTGCAAAAGAGACATTTCAAAAGGTTGCACGCAAACGGAACATTTTATTTTGTCGCATTTTGAATTTTAAAGCCGTCATTACAACAACAATATACTTCTCTCTTGCTTGCAACCTTTTGAAATGTCTCTTTTGCGAAAAATAGATTTTTATCCCGCTTTTGTGAAAAGCCTGCTATCGTCAGTCTATTATTCTCAGCAGTTCATATATTACACATGCATTTGCGATAGATACTCATTGCGATAGATACTCATCTTACATGGAAACGATAGTATTTAAAATGAACCAAGAACCATTTTTCACCATTTGCTGTCCATGTACCACATATCGGTGAGCATAAAGATGATGATGAAAAAAGCAATAATAAAAACTAAACCAATGCAATATTTACGAATAAGCGTCCGAACGAAAAGTGACACATCAGAAAATGTGTTATTTTTTTTTTATCTTTTGAACTAGATGCTCTCGAGAGGAACACGCATACTGCTGCAATTTCCTACGTGTTTTTGTTCGAGTTTTTCTTTTCTCATTACGTTGTTGCTATTTTCCGTTCAAATACAAAGAACCGACTTTTCTTTAGGATTTTCCATGCATTCACTTGATATATAAACGTTGTTTGCTGTCTGACGATTCATGCTAATTCCTTCAAATTTCCCACTAAGCGATTCTGAAGGCAGGGTCCGGAGTTTTAAAAACTGAACCACATCAGATCATTTGCTGCATACTTATACTCGGTGTAAAAATTGTGGAGACAACATTAAACCATACTGTCACGAAAATCTTTCGACATTTGAACGCATAAAAATTATCTCCAACCAGAATTGGAAATTAACAAAAAACATAACACTTGGTACTCTAGAACCTCTGTTGTAATCATAACATCGCTAACATATCAACCCCTTGAAGAATGGCTAGTGTGATATAAAGCCAAAACTATTCAGATGAATAGCTAAAAAAAATGGTAATGGATAGGTGCATTTGTATATGAACCATTTTATGCCAGAGATAATATCAGCATGTGGTTTTATTTATCAAACACGGAGAGCTTCATGTACTTACGAGCAAAAACGAAGAAATTACCATAGCATGGAAGCAAGAGTCTAACGGTTTTTTTTCTCTAACTGAGAACAAGGGCAGGATTTGAATTGGAAAAATGACTATTTTAATTCTTTGCTCGTTTAGTGGCACTACGTTGCAAACAAAAACCACAAAAATAAATGTTTAAAGCATTTTCGAATCAAAAGTAAGAGAAGAATATTTTACATTGTTATCAAATGTGATTTATTTGATTATGCTTGATTGGTTTCGCACATGGTTTCGCATTATAGAGTAATGACAATATTGCTATAGCAATACGAATAGGCCAGTCCAATGCACGTTTTTTTTTCTCTTCAAATTTAATGAAGAAGAGAAATGGCCATTCACATCGTTATATAATAAGCGTAACTTAATATATTATACGCTTTCATCACTCGCACAAGCTGTCGTCCGCTATGCTCCAACAATATTAATCGCTTTCGAACAAAAATTTGAACTTTGCTAAAAGTGCAGAAAAAAAGAGTTACTTACCCCCTTCGTCAGTCATCACGAGGACAGTTGTGGCGGGTCCCGGTCCCTCTGGATTGAATACTTGTAATGATACAAGGTATTGTGTATATGTCTCGAGATTGTGTATCTCATGACTCTGCAAAATACAATTGAATAATAATTATACAATGTGTGAGTTAAGAGAAGAACAACAACAACGCTGCAACTATGTCATGTATACACGTTGTAAATGATACGGTAGAAATTGCTTTTAGAATTGATTTGGTTTTTTTTCTCACAGACTCATTTGCGAAATTACATACGAAATCAAGTCTGTAAAAAAGAATGCAGTTCTCATGATAACATCATTTTTCAAAAACGATTTTCCTGCAATGCATCATTTTTCATGGGATGCACGATGTGAGTTTGCATGTTCGTTTTCAATGTCGTCGCTGTTCGTCGTCCGTATGCGAACGGTGCAGTGTGACTGCTTCTTCTTCTTAACTAACACATCTATACATGTAAGTTGCCATATTGGTTATAATGTTCACAAATGGGTGCGTTTAATTATATGTCAGCGCACTGTCATTTTGCGCGCATTGGTTTAGCTCGATGTGAAGCCGTGTGAAGCATAGGAAAAAAAAAACAACTACAATAGCCTACATTCCATGTAGTGCTAAAAAAGCCGATAGAAATCGATAGAAATAATATGGTTCACGATTTTTCAAAATATCATTTTTGCTCAAAAGTTATCGTGAATTGTCACGTTAATGCGACCAAATGCGAACGAGCACGACTGGTTGCTCGCGGTGTCTTTTTATCCGTTTTTATCTGCCGCGATAATCGTCACGTTAATACGACTGAGCACAACACGGCACACAATTTTATCGGCTAGAAGAAAATGATACGATTTTTTATCGGAATTTGCATTGGCAAGATTTAATTCTTGTTTCTTGCGATTTGGCGAATGTTACATGTTACGACGTGTCAATTTTAATTAGAAAAAATTTCTATCGGCCGAAAATGTAATAGTGTTTATTTAAGCAGTAGCACAAGATGATAAATCGAATAACATATGCGCATGTTGACGCATCATTAAACGCACTCAATATACTGTATACATTTTCAATATGGCCGCGCCCATTGTGTGCGACAGTGTGAAGAAGAAGAAGCTGTTAGGGATGCTGTTCGTTCATTATTCATAATTTCACCTTTTCGTTTTCTTTAATATTCCAGACATATACGATTACTGTCGATTGACAAGTAAGAGAAGCACAAATAACTTCTGCGAGAAAAAGTAAAACAACGTAATTTTCAATAAAGAGATAGTACGATACTACGTTTGACGAATTTCAACATCTCACTCAGACAAAGAACTTTCTCAAAGACTGTGTTGCCTCTAACGCTGCCATTTCCGCAGAATCTCAGTTCTTAAAAATCGCATTCTTACGATTTTCAAGGGAAAAAAATATATGTCGCACTTTTGCATGCCGGCTGTCAATTTATCGTCGATGAAAGTGATAACAGGTACTATTCAGGATGTAGCATAATCCAAGGATTTTTGTTAGTAGGTGAAAAAAAAACGAACGAAAAAAGAACGAATTCATTGTTACTCCGCCATCGAGGTGTAAAGTTCGAATAGTGCACTTTATTTTATAAACTAACTTGACGGAAATTGCAATTCAGTGTGAGATGAAAGAGAAAACGAAATAATCAAGTCTTAACTTTCATTCACATCTAATGTATTATCTAACCTACAATTGAATTTATGAAAGATGAAGCTATCCCAAATGGGATTCTTCGAAAGTTTTGAGGACTTCTTTGTCAGTCACAGGTGTAAAATTCTATGCAACGCACAATTTTACATAGAACTCCACGCTTGTTCAATGCATTGCATCAACTGTTCCATTGAATTCATTTTATACATGAAGGAAAGGCGCCCGAGAATATCTTTATGCTGAGCATTTCCACACAAACATTCTAAAATCTACACTCTATGCTCCGTCGTGCTGACTAGGATGGAGTTGAGAAAAATTCTCGTTTGCAATTTATTGTGTTCACTTCCAAATGATTTCCTTCTTTGCAAAAAAGGTGGAAGACGTACGAAGGATAAGATCACATTCATCCATGAAAAAAAAATCTTTTCGTTGGCTGACATCTGAATCGAGTCTCATCTCCCTCACTATGATCCATATATACAAGCTCACAAATACGTTTGCGCTTTCACTTGCTTTTTTCCATCCTTTCTCTCTTTCGAGTACATGCTAAAACAATGACTTAATACTGCATTGTTTATATTCGCTGGGTCTATGTTTACGACTTGTAGACGCGCACTCGGATCGTGCAAAAGATGTTCGTAGTGAAGGCAAACTATTTGCACGAAAATGCATTCAACGGTTTGTTACCTTCAATACAATTAGAGTTTTATTATATTGCTGAAAGTTTTCTTTTTCAATTTACATACTAAATAGAAAGGTAACGAGAAGCGTTGCACAAAAATACGATTCCGAAAAATTATTCAGCGTAAACTGTAGAAGCTCGGGCAGCACGAACACAACCCGAGAAGATTTTTCTGAATATATTGAGTTTTCCCTATGTGTTTGTATTTATCCCGCATGCACTCTGTATTTGGTGGCAAAGTTTCGTCAGTCATCTTCTAAGACATTTATATGCGCGAACAACATAAAAATAAAAATGAACAAGAGGTGCTTATTCGGATCTTATCTTCGGCAGCAATGAACGTATAAATGACGGTAGAGAAATGGTCAAGTGCAAAGTACATTACAAATATAGTATTGATAATGATAGTTCTTTTGAATGTCGCCGTTATTGCCCATCAAAATGAAATTGTAAGGAGAAAAATATATCAGAAAACAATTTGAAAGCGTATTGCATACAAAGATGACGAAAATCTCGACATTTGTTTATTGTTTTAATGGTGTACATGTATTTATAATGTTTTTAACTGCCTGATCTGTGGATAGCAAACATGTTTCTATGATGTCCAGACTTCGTTCGATGTGAATAATTCGATTTATTCCACACAAATAAATAAGGAATGGTGAAAATACTGCCATTGTTACGGTTTTCACGAGTTAAAATAATGCTATCCGTGAATTTGTTCCATTACTGATTAATGTTCCTTTTATAAAAATGTGCACAGAAGGAAACCAAAACTCATTCACCAAATGTTAAGGTACAGCTGAAAATGTAATGTCTTCTAGAAAATTTGCGACTATCCTCATGAAATTATAACCATGTTTTAATAAAGTTCACAAAGATATTCAAATCTGACTATTATTAGCAACAAATTTTATATTTTTTGAAAGATGTAAATTTTGTTAAAATCCGTTCAGTGGCCCAAAAGTTATAGCAAAAATTCCGAATGCCCTCTTGAATCGGCGACCAAAATCGGCCGCCTAGGAAATAGTACCTTTACTCGTTCAATTCTCTTTAGTTTCATGAATTTAATTTAATCATCCGAACAAAGTGTTAAACTTCATTAACTAAATTTCCATTTTGAATATGCGAGTCGTGATTTTTAAAAATGAATTGCTTGTGTATGAAGAATTATAAGTGTAAATAATCATGGTACACTGATCTGTTTCGAGTGCAAATCCAAGCGACAAATAAATTGTTACAATTCATTTAAATGTGTACTCGCATTGAATTCATTCCATACAAGCCGCAAGTCCGTTACACACCATCTGCATCACTCAAACTAGAATAATTGCAACTTTATTTGCTCACTTGATGTCACTTGTAAGACACAATCCTCACTATGGTTATAACTAAGTTAATATTTCTTGTATTGTACTTTAAATGAGCTGAGGATGCAACTGAATGCGGAATACGAATGAAAAGAAGAAGAAAAGAAAACCCGGTAAAGTTCGCGAATTTTGAATGCATTGTTCGGAACAACAGCGAATGGAATGTAGTAGTAAATCAAGACTTCGATTATTTTTTATTCTTTCCGCACTTCGGTAGATGTGAAAATAGGTGCGCAGTTTTTTACATCGTCGAATTTCCATTGAAATATCTTTAGCATAAGTATTGATTTTTTTCATAAGCAAATATAATATAAAAACGTGGAGAAAAAAAATGCTCAGCATGAAAAGATGAAAGATGAAAATAATGTGAGACAGAGTAGAAAAACGAATGAAACTTACATTTCGTACATAAATCGGATACCATTTTTTCATCGAATAATGAAAATGCACGGAAGAATGGAACGAAAGTAAATACCATCGAAATTTTCGTAAAACTACTTCCGAATTCAAAATTTGATATGCAAATAATAAAATTCGAATCGTGGAGCACATTTTATTCATTTCGATTATGCATGCGAAATTTTAAATGATTGAAAAACGAAGGCGAAACGATTTTCTATTAAAATTTGATCTGATAGTATTTTCGATCTACTGCTGCTGCTACTACTTCTTTTCTAAATCATTTTATTTTTCTTATGAACACACCAAATGGTATCAGGGTTAATATTGAAGAAAGAGTATTAGCATTAAAACCGACCCCAATTGTGCATGTTCATTGTTGCTGTCTTTGTTAACCTATTTTCAGCTGGAATATTTGGCTATATTTCCAATTTGCATCGGTTTTGTACTCACCTCGACGCTGCTATCTCTTATGTAAATCTCTTCAGTTGTATCATTGTGTCTGTCGCGGACGCGGTACGTTATGCGATATCCAAGGAATTCGCCCAATATTGTATCGGGTGGCGGTGGTTTCCATGATATGTAAATTGAACTAGACGATGTGTTGTGAGCAATTGTTGTCACTGGCTTGCCAATCGGAACTGTGAAAAAGATTATAAAATAAACATCGATTTTGAGTTAGCGAAAAATATTTGTTGTGAACATTTAACGATTTGTATTCATTTCAAGCATTGTACAGACCTGCCATCGAGTTGGATAGAATTGTTTGACAATTTAAGTGCTTCTATTCTACAATACCAACTATTTTGTCGTGCATGACATGTTGTGATTTTAGTGAAATAGTATTTAGTCGAGTGATATTTTTGCTTTTTGTCAGCATTGTTCTGAATGGATTGTATGGATTAAAATGGGGGTTTTGGTCAAGGGCTTAATAATCGTCCAAGACCAGAACCGTCGCGTAGACAAGAAATATCGTAGAAGTACTTTCAAGTTGTAGCATAATTACATCGGTCAACATAATTACCGCACGGATAATCTTTGTTTCCATATATAATTACGTCAGTTTGGATACACGTCCAATCACTCATCTAATTTAATCTTACTAAGCAGCAAGTATGCATTTATGCAGTACACAATTCGTGGTTGGAAATATGTATTTAAACAAAAGAGCCTTTTCCCTGTACATCTCTCTCTCTCTCTCTCTCTCTCTCTCTCTCTCTTTCTCTCTCTCTCTCTCTCTCTCTCTCTCTCTCTCTCTCTCTCTCTCTTTGGCCGTTGGCTGTAAACTTAACAGCAATAAATCACATCACGTTCGCTCTTATATATCTTTTAATATTCAGTTTTATGCGTTTTTCATTCGATTCATGATTTATTTCGAATATATTCACAATATAACTCATTCGTTTTATGGCTCCAACTCCGGCTGTAGATAAGTGTCTCTTTGCTTCACTTTTTTGCACGGACAGATGTATGCACTTTGTGATGCAACAACTGCACATAGCTTCTCAAACTGCACAACCGAATTTTTGTATGTGTTGGAAGGGGGAAAATGCTAGCGTGATGCTATGTATTATAATATAAGAATGAGTGTTCTTTGAGCTAGCGCAGCGTGATTTTTCTCATTTTGTACACTCCAACATTTTCCCGCACACTCGCAGTTTGCGTTGTTATTGGCCGCTGTGCATTTGAGTCTTCAGCAGTGAACACCCGCAATGTTGACTCTTATCTAAATATCTACTGATGTGTGTAGAACTTAACTGAGACCTGAAACTGCCAAAGTTTTACGCAAATACACACAATTTTTATAGATAATTCGCTTGATACATGACATATATAAATGATACATGAGCGTACGAGCAGTCCAGCCAGTGAAATCATGTATGTAATTATATGTATAAATTGATGCGGAACATTATAGAAATGTGGTTTACCCTTGATCCGCACGTGCTGTATTTAAATAATAAAAATTTAAATTCATTCTTTTTCAAATTAATTGAAAAAAAAAAATTCGTTTCTTGCCGCTGAAATGTTTCACCGGCTCAAGTTGCGACACGGATTTATTGATGATTATTAGTGATGCTGATGTACGTTCCGCAGTCATTTCGGTATATGTCCTACAGTATGTAATATACGAATTGATATGAAATGCAAATATGAGCCATTAAATTTCTTTTCGGCTTATAACAAATATTCGCAAGCACATACAACACTCTTACGCACGGCAATGGAAGCAGCGGAAATGCCGAGGAAAAACTCTGCATGGAAACATTTCCACCGTTACCTAATACCTAATAAGCGATTGAATGCAAGTATGCGCGTGAGTATGAATACATATGAAGTTGACTATGTGCCAATGCGCCTTCTAGTGCCAATGAATTCCGGTGCGCATTGCTTACTTGGCGCGAGAGAAAGACTAGAAGAAGCATATTATTTTTAAATTTTCGGATTATAACAAATGAGAACTAAATGTTATGCAGCACACATTTGCAGGTACAGTCGATTCAATGCAAGCTCCAGTCCAAACGCCAGCCCAAGTTAATGGCAGCAAAAGCACAGCAGGGAGAAAAACGCTCTGTTTTTATACTTTTAATGGGATTGACTCATTCGTACACACTTCTACGTGGGATTTTTCTGGCAGTGACTGATATTTTATTTTTCTGTTTGAATTGTTCACTGGTTCTTACCGCCCGTTTCGTGCTCCATTTTAAAAAGTTCTTTTTCGCGAACTGTTTTACCATGGAAATTCATCGTATTCTTTTTACTATTGACAAAAAAAATGTTTTATGCGTTTCATACTTTTATTTTGTTTCTTTTTTCGACTTTGAATTTTGGTGCCGCCTTCTATCCTCAAAATCGGTCAGATATTGTGTGGGTCAATATGTACGGCTGTTCTTTGGCAATTTTGTGCGCGATTTCTTGGAAATTATCGCATTGTAATGTCTGTATTTGGGAATTGCAAGGAGTTTTGTAATTTATGAACATTAGCAGTGGCGTAGCTGTGAGGGATTTGGGAACAGCCCCAATCTTCGAAATAGATGAAATTAATGGGAAAGTTACCGAATTGAAAAGAAAAATCGAAAAAGCAGCTTTCACTGCTCGGCATCATTTCGCATCTTTCATAGATTTAACAACAACAGTTTGAACCGAGGGGCAAACAACTCAAAGTTAATACTTTGTATAAGTAATACTTTAAGTAATACTAATGTAAATATTACCTAGTATTACTTCAGTATTACTTTGCAGGTATTACGTATTACTTTTGAGTGGATTGCCCCTTGGTTTGAACTCACTATCCGAAAAAATATTTCTGGCTACGCCACTGAACTGAACTGAACTGTACAATAGATATATTTGAACCCTTCGCATACTATTTGGCCGCTGCCTTTGATATAGAATGGGATGGCATATTACCATTATTTTCTTTCGAATGAACGAAAGAACGAATTTTCACTCTTGCGTTCGTTCGCTCGTTCACTCGTTTTGCTGTCCTAAATTATTATAATTTAGTGTAAGGTGCACACATATTCCATTCCTCTCCTCGTTAGCACTGTTCAATCTCAGTGGATGCCTGCTGTGTGTTGAATGAATTTTCACTTTGCAACCACATGAAGGATGTACGTGTGACAGGGGTGCGGAAATGTACATTCGCTTGATCCTTGCTGCTTTCCTTTCTTTTCTTTTCTTTTCTTCCAAATGCACATATTTAGCATTGCAAAACTGAACACTCGCTAAACGGCCAACAATATGATTGAAGCAGTGCGAACTCGATGAAATGAGAAATAACGTGATCAATTTTGAACATTTCGCATTGAGTGGAACGTGAAGGCCTTGGAATGAGTACGAGCAATGCTTGATCGACGAATCATGTAAGCGTATTTTCGTTATTGCGTGAATCCTTTTTTGCGTTTTGCGAATTGTTTGAACCACATGCAATATTCTGATATTTAATTACTAACAATCATTTTTTTTCCTATGAGATTGATTCATTTAGGTAACCGATGTTATCAAGTACATGTTAAACTTTCAGTTTAATTGCAGCTGTGCTCGTTTATTATAAAAAATGAAGAAAACTTTTTTTTTCCATTTTCCGTCTACAGCATATCGCGTGACAAAAATTTCAAGTCATCGTTCGAATTTTGGAGGAAGAAAGAAGGGAAAAAAATGAACGCACACATTCACAAAAGCAAACTTCGAACCATAAGGGTGCCAGTCAGAATGAATGGTGAGGACGGAGTATTTATTCGAAAACGGCAAATATTTGGAGATTTTTTTTCCCTTTATTTTCGCTACTTTCAGTTCAAACATTTCGAAATCATTTCTTTTCACAATATAATGCGTAGACGGTGGCTAATCCAATCGAGAACGGGAATAACGGAGGTAAAACTCACAAAAATGCTCATAATTCGATGACACATTATTATTATTGTTATTATTATTGTGATTTCAGTTTTGACGTTGTTTCTCTTAGCGTTTGTATTAACGAATGACTGCTACACTGAGAGAAGGCAGGAAGAGAATATTCCAATCCGGCGTTGTAAATGTTGACATTCTTGGACCATGGTTGGAACTTGACAAGTGTGGAAATGCTATCAATTAATATTCCAACCATGGTTGGACAATTCACAAAATCGTCTGCAATGACAACATTTACAACACAGGGTTGGAATATTTCCTTCCTGCCTTCTCTCAGTGTACTTACTTGTGCTTTTATCATCACCAGTAAGATGGTTTTTTTTATTCTCTCTCGTTCCCCCCCATTCTCTTTCCCACTGTCTCTGTCTATCAAATAAAAAAACTTTACTAAAGTCAATTCTCGTGCCGAAAGCGAACACAAAACGTGTGATATCAATTTTATAAAATCATTTCGGAACGATTTCAATCTGCCAATTTCTCATTCGTCTAACTAGTTTATACATCGCAATCTTTTAACTTGAAATAGGTGTCGTTTGATAGCTGGCCTCAATACCTTTCAGGGTTTAATTTTTCCCATACGCTCGATAGAGCCTCCATCGATTGAATCGAAAGAGTTTTTCAAAAG